TGATTCGGTCATATTTGCCATATTTGGTCACCCAGAGGAAGGAAGATTCCGCCATGAGCCAATGGAGCGCGTAGTATTGTTTATTAAAATATTACCAATAAAAATTCAATAAATTGCTCGTTAAAAATTTGTTACATGTAGCTCGACATGTGTGGAAATTCAACACGTGCCAAATTCACATGAGTATTCACATGTTCGTCGGCCCTGAACAAAGATACCACATCGGAGAGTTTCCTATTGGCATTGATACCGATGTATAAATATTTTTCTCTTTCCCTCTCGTTTGACATTTATGGTAGTCTTTCATAATAAGTATATTAGCGATACATAACCACTATACGATAATACAGAAATCGCAGGGCTTCGTTGAAATTGTTCCAAAGCCGGAGCCGTCGAGGATAAATTTATCTCTTAGTTATAGCTGACTTCTGTCAAGCCAAAGTACTGAGGTGGATTTGATGCCAAAAGCAACACTGCTCGAATATAATCGATATCGCCTGTTCACTTCCGTCCGTTCGAAGTCAAATTCGAAGTCACGACGGTGATTTACCGAGAATGTCTCTCGAGAACGCTGATCGAGTGCGAAACGTCACATACTACCGCTACTTCGCGCACCATCGTTTATTCTTAGATGATAAGACATTGCTTCTGCAAAGTTCTGGAATTTTGAGAAATGGATCAAGCGGTATCTCTCGTGAATCAAAATGTTCCATAAGATTGGAGAGTAACAGTCGCGCGCGAGCCGAACGACTTCTCGCGACCATAGAAAATAGACGAGAGACGCGTGACTTTCCACGTTTCTGTGTACGTCATAAATCAAGATGAATGATACGATCCATCGGATATCATGCCACCTCCGACAGATGCATCAATCTTCTCTAACATGTTAGGGGTACCTCGCTTCAGTGGCAGTGACTTTTTGACCGTTACTGCTCATAAAAGCAGCCAAGACCATCACGTTTTCCAGAACATACATTTGTCTCAGTCTAGAGCATTCGCGCAAATGATTTTTGTATACAATTTCTGCGCGTGAAATATCATTTGTATTACAATTGAACGAAAATTATTCAGTTAATCGTATTTTTCCATCATAATTTAAAATGAAAATAGAATTATCTTTCATCTTTGTCGCTTTGCTGTGCGGCTTCATCTTTATTATTTTTAAACATTTTGATCGAGAAATATCGCGGTAATATAATCACAGCTTTTGTTTGTCACAATATATATCTTTCTGATAGCAAAAAAATTAATATTCATTATTGATTCGGAAGTTACAACGAAGTCCTGCGACTTATAAGATCCACATCGATCAATCGACAATGCAAGAATATTCTTACGACTGTTACGCGGAAAGAAACAATCGTAAGAACAATCACATTACACCTTATTACGACATCTCGGCGTAACTTTACTGCGTAATTGTACAAGGCGCTCCAGGTTTGCTCGGAAAAAACATGATTGAGAAACCCAGAAAATTGCTGCGGCGAGACAAAAATAATAATAATGATAATCTGATTTATTAACTGGTTTCCGAAATCGGGACAGCAATAGAATCGGTAACAGCGGTTGTCTTTTGTCGCTATGATTAATCCGAATAATAGTGTTGTGTCTCGGATCGTTTCCCGCATAAAATCGTCCGCATGAGGGATTTGTGTGAGACTTTGCCAGAAATATATAACAAAACGAAAACGCATGCGATGGGTAAACTTGTCGCGAGAGAACGAGCGTGAATTTCTGCGCGTAAATAATGATCCGTCGGAATCGCTTCATGATGACGCCAAGTTGTCGCTTATGACAATGCATCGAGTTTGCAGAAATGTACATATCGAGCGACGTGAGATTGTTCCAGCAATCTCCATTTCTCTCGGACCGCAGCATCCCGGAAAGTCCGACGGCCAAGTTGTAGGGGGATGCACGTCTGTTTGTTTACTGTGTGTATATGTCTGTATGTATGCATATTCGTCTACATGTTTGCGTACGATGGTCAAAATCGCTCATTGGCGGATGGAAGGCACGGGGTAAGGATATCAAAAAAGGGGATTCAGACTCGATGACGGCAACGACAACGATGACGACTACTCGCCAAGGAATCCGCGCGGATCGTCTTCGATCATGTTGTTTGAACTATCGATCGTTGCCGGTCCAATCGCTCGCTGCCCACGCGGGTAGCGGCGTTTCGTACTCCCATCCCGGGCCGCAGTAACGCCACGCGTGCAGATACATCACCAGATCTGACGGCTTCGGGTCCCTATACTTGACTTTGCACTCGTAACAGTGCGGGTCAACGGTGACCTTGTCGTTGGCGAAAGTAGAATCTGGCGGTTCCGAGCCTGTCTGCGTTCCCACGGTGACCTTGAGGGATTCTTGTTGTGGCTGCTGTTGCTGCTGCTGCGATTGTTGCTGCTGTTCATCCTCGACTAAACCCGGGGTGGATGACGGCGAGGAACCGTTGTCCTTGTCATTGCCGGAGCCCAGCATGCGTTCTTCCAATTCCAGTTTCGGCTTGAACAGGCTCATATCAGAATCACCGTCCATACCGAGCCAATTTTCGGCATTATGAATGCTGATGAGATCCCGGACGAGCTCCTCGTCGGTCTTGCCAATATTACCGCCCTTCCCCTTGTGCGGGCCGAAGACCACGTGATTGTAAAGAGGATCGTTCACCACGGGATAGCCGAGGTATTGCAGATGAACGCGGATCTGATGCATGCGTCCAGTCTGTGGCTTGCATAGCACCACCGACGATTTGCCATTGTAGCTGAGACGCTTGAAGCGGGTGACGCAATCTTTGCCTTTCTCGGAGACCTTGCAGACGCCGATCTTGTAGGAAACGACTTCGATTGGCTCCGAACAAATCACCTCTTCCTCAGGGAACTCACCTTCCACTCGGCACACGTACTGTTTGTGAACCTGGAATGTGAAGATACAACATACAACGTATGAAACGATTACGGTCGTCATATTCTTATGCCAATGTAAGCGTCTCCGTCATTTAACGACGGACGAGCGACGCCAGCTGCATGTCTATATGTATTTTTTTCTCGCATACCCGCGAGACATACGCTTATGCAACCAACCTGTCGATTTCTTATTTGGTGCTCCATCTGTCTTGCCTTCTTCGGCGTTCTGCCGAATAAGAGAATGCCACTGGTCAACCGATCCAGCCTGTGAATAGTTCTGAGATTCTTCAAATTATACTCCTTCGCCAGAATGAAAACCACAGTATTGTGTCGATAACGACCGCATGGATGAACCTGCGAACATAGACACGATCAAATGATTTTATTTTCACTTCGTGCTCCGCTTGAAGTATTAATTTAAGAATCCAAAAGTTGTCTGAATTCTAGAAAAGGAAAAATCAAGACAATTTATGTAATTTCGTCTTATTCTGAGAGAAAAGTTTTTATATTTGTAACTATATTATTTCTATTGTGACTATAATTACATGTTATCAATTATGATTATTATTGCTATGTTAGTAATAATAACTATGAGTAGTTTTATCAAAAACTATGTAAAGTTGACACCCAAAATGATCTATAAATTACAGTTATTATTACCATAAAAATAATAATAATAATAACTATATGAAAAGTTTATGAAATATGTAAGTAATCCTAGATGTAATCTTGCAAACTTACACTGAAATTATAGTTAAATTATAATGTAATTGCAACTATAGTCATTATTATCATAAAAATCTAGTTATTATCATTTTCACGGTAATAATAACTGTAATTGCAATTGTATTATAATTTAACCATAATTTCAGTATGAATTCGCGAGGCACCTAGAATTACTCCTGTATTTCACTCTAAACTTTTCATAAAGTAACCAGAATATCTTCAGGAAATGAGATGTGAGCGGTAAATTTATGGAGCTTATACTACTTAATGAATGTACTGAGTGCCTATCGGCATGTGGCCAATGTAAATTCGATGTAGACACAGATACACACTCATACACACATACACACAACACAGACGCTCATACGTGTACGCATTCACGCAAGAGCGACCGACCCATTTCTCCTGGCAAATTCGGGACAAAAAGCACTCTCATCTACAAAGGAAGGTCGATTCATCGTTTTGAATCAGTATAGCAGTGTGGCACAGGAACGACGAGCTTTATGCATTCCGGCCGACAATGCGGATTTGTAGGTACAACAACTGGCTGGCTGACTAGCTGGCGGATCGTATCGGACTCTTCCTGGCTCGATAAGTCCGCGCGTCTATCTGCACCACAGTACACGTATGCACAATAATGTACGTCGGCTATCAAACGCCCCTAGCGACTCGGCAAACCGCTACAATAATCCGGCGATCGAAGGCTCTTTTCTATTCGCCACCGTTAGGATTTCACACCTTCCTGTGTATTCCTCTCTCCACCATAAAATGAATTTCAAGAATTTCAACAAGCGAACGAATTCCGAATTTTTTACAATTTTGTCGTACGCACGACGAGTTTTCCCGGCATAAAACTTTGTTACGTAAAATCTAAAAATGTATAACCGAGAATCTATTTTCTCCATTATTGCACTGTTAAATTTATAATATCAAATTATATTTATTTTCGCTACAGTTCCTATTCTACAATTCTATATGCCGTTAATTTAAAACTGAAGTAGCAGAATTTAATAATTTAACTCAAACAAATATATTAAATCGCACTAATAATGTGCACTCAGAAAAAATATTTATTTGATAAAATTAATTTCATCAAATGAACAATTTTTTTCTCAGTATGGAAAATTGAGTGACTTAATGTGGCGAACAAAAGATGTTATAGATACAAGACTTAATAATGGATAATTTTTAAGATATATCAAAGCTGCTTTGTGAACACAAGTTTACACATTTGATACATATTTTAAAAACCATCCATTATTAATCCATTATTATTCTTTCCGTCATGATATCTTTTATTTATAGGCCACATTATAAGCCTACATTACATGTGAAAACTAATTCATTTTACCGAAACCCAATTTCCCACATAATTAGTGAGTCTTTAACTCAAATTTAGTTTATTATTTACTAAATGCATATGTGAACGCTGTTTATGATGAAACCAGCCACAGAAATGAATTGATTTTGACATACATGCTACAACTTTCATGGAAGTTAAAAATAACAAAATATCATGTTAACTCGAAGAATTGAGTTACCATTGCTCTTTTGATAACTAATAATGCATGATTTTCTAATAAATATAATATTACATTAATGTAAATATATTAGTAAATTATTATTATAATATTATATTACTAATATAAATATATTAATCTGAAAACATTATACTGCAACGCAAATATATTGATGTAATTAAAATTTTATAAATTAAATTAGAGCATTATACATTACTGTTAAAATGATCTAAACGCGATACGAAAAAGTTGAATAATTTTGCTATTGTCACAATGCACGTAGAGAGAGGAAGAAGGAAGCGAAAGCGACATGATAAAGTCGTGGTGCGCCACAATTGCATAACGGTTTTAACGATGTCTGCACGCGAAAATTAATTCAATTGTTGGGCGGCCGAGATCTCTTCGCAGTTCGCGACAGAGCAAAAATGGAAAAAAGTACTCGAGAAACCGGATGGATGCGAAAGCGAACCATTAAGTCGTGCATCGCGCTCGTGCTTCGCCAAGTACCTACTTGCGCGTCGGATTATTTTTGCATTAATGCCCGGCTGTTTTGTTGCGCAAGCTCTTGTTAACGATCTCTCTCTGAGGACGCAGCCACCGGTGCATTCGGTGACATTTGAGAGGAAAAGTGGCCGAGCTTAGTTCTCCGAGCCTGTATTTATCACTGAGCAAAGCCTCACGGCCCGTCGTAGGAGAATAAAACTTGCAACCACTGCGGTGGCACAACTAACGGTCCCGACAGCAAAAACGAGAAAAGAGAACAGAGGATAAAAAGATATATAGAGAAAGAAAAAGAGTACGTTAAAGTCTCATAAGCTGGTCTTGCAGAGCCATCTTCTTTTTGGAAACTTTGGGACGCTTATTTTCTCGGCAGGTGTATACGTCGTCGCGCGTTTATTATCGTTGTGAATTGAAATAACTGAGACGAAAATTGCTGGAAAGTGGAAAAACGAAAGGGTGTTAAACTCGTTCCGAGGAAATCACCGTAACCGTTAATTTACGCCAATGAATCACCGATATCACCGGTTTAATGCATCGGACTCGCGGTATTGCATTTTATACTCGCCGAGGAATGCTCCTGTCCTTTACCTATGTATTTTTACAGCGGAGTCCGCGAAGTCCGACATTATCGTGGAGCGGCAATAATAGCGCGCGGAGTAAATTATTCGTGATTTGCGAGCGCCGTAATGCGCATGATTAACATTTTAATAGTGAGTTTTATTCGCGCGGTTGCGGCCGTAATGCATTCGCGACCGCGGGACATTTATGCGAGTTGCCTGCGCGTAAATTCTAAATTCCCTTTTTTCTTTATTTTTCTTTCTTTTTTAATCATAACAGTGTCGTATCTCGAAGTATACAAGAGAGACCGAGGTCGCCTGATGTCGAAACATTGCATTTTAAAAAGGCAAAGCTCGTCAGAGGCCCTTGACATTTGACGCAACATCTGTAAACCGCGTTGTTTTGTTAGTCACCGTCTGAAAAACGACTCGTTAGCGGCAATTTAGTCGCCTTCCATGCGTCGAGAGAGAGAGAGAGAGAGAGAGAGAGAGAGAGAGAGAGAGAGAAAGAAGGAAATAAAAGAACGCTAACGAAATCAGAAAGTCGACATTGAAAGAGCGGAAGTTTGCGCGGCCCGGTTGAGAGACACGCTAGAATTTAATTTATGGGGTACACTCAAATATATATACAAAGCGATGGAAAATTTCATTAGTGAGAGTGCAAAAGAATAGAGTCTGGAAATTCTAAATTTTAACAACGATGGGACTTTAACCCTGCGAAAACATGCTCTACGAAATAATTTTTAGTAAAAGTCTGCGGTTGTATACATTATAATTGTAAAGACAGCTTATGGAATTTTTCAGATAGACTGAAACGCGCGAGTGGACTTCGAGTGTTAAGCGATTTGGTTGCATGGAAAGTGTCGAGGCATGCAAAAGAGTACGCGCGCGCGTGTGTGTGTGTGTGTGATGTTTTCGTGGTTGGACAATACGACAAACAATTTTTTGGCAGTACAGTTCTGGCAGTACACCACTTACAGGGATGGAGGCGGGCTTGTTGACCACGACGACGTCCTCGTCCATGTGTATCACCGTGATCGGCTCCGAGGTGACAGGCACCTCGTGTCTGCAACACACCAATCGCAACCAGCTTAACGTGGCTTTGTTCCGTTTGCGCTTACACATCTCGCACACGCGTACGTAGTGCACGTTTGTAGACGTACACGTAACATATTCACACGCACACGCACACGCACGCACGCACATACACGTACACACATTCGTACGTACACGCGATAGACGAAATGTCGAGTAGTTCTCGTACGAGTAGATAGTATCAAAGCATGGACCACATTCGTATCTAAATAGTCCATATCTAATATATCTAATACATTTAGAGAAAGATTTTAGTACATATAACCATTTATTTTGTCATCTATTTATGTTGATATGTGACAAAAACTTTTACAATTTTTGTTATTCTAACTATATTTGATGTTCATCAAAAAATTGTGTTGTTCTAATTAAAATTTGATTATTATTATAATTATTATTATTATTATCAAATTTTAATTAGAACAACACAATTTTTTGATGAACATCAAATATAGTTAGAATAACAAAAATTGTAATGTTTTAATCAAAATTTGATTATTCTAATCAAATTTTGATTAGAACAACACAATTTTTTAATGGAAAAAAATAAGAAAGTTTTTGTTAGTCACATATCAACAACGTAAATATACCAAACATTTCTCTGTGTGTGGTGAACAAAAATTAAAGAGAAGGAGCGTGAAGAAGCCAATTTCCTTCTCTTTAACAACATTAAACTGTTGAATCGCTCATTAAGCATCAGTGAGCAAGAAACGAATTAATATATTTATTTATCATAATATTACTATATTTATTATAATATAATATCATT